GGGGGGGGGGGGGAGTTCATCCATTTTTTCCTTAAATGTCACCTACTGCCCACCTGTGTTTTTGGCCTATTATAAATATTCTTTCTTAATTCTACACGGTGGCTAGTAAGTAAGAATGAATTTGAGAAATTTAGCAGTGACTTTTATTGAAAAAAAATTTTCGTTATGGTTATCGGTAGGTTGTTAAATGGTTTTTAATTTTTTTTTTAAACCTTTTTGTACCGGGGTCTTGAGTTATTTGAATTTAATTAGGAGCTATGAAGATATTGGCAGGTTAGGGGCGTATCGTTTGACACCCGGTCGTACAGCGGCAGCTGGACCAAACGGTTAAGACGGCTAAAGTGGTATGGAGGTGTGGAGGTGTGGATGGCCCGGACGACTGAAATACGCCCGAGGCTTCGAAAAAAAGACTGGCTGACGACCGACCGAGGCTTTTGCAACAAATCTTTCTGTCTAAATCAGTTTTCGGTATGAGATAAGTCTTTTCGGCTTTGGCTCTCAGATGCGTAAGATTAAGTCCTGAGAGCATCTCGTTAAACATCCTTCGGGACTTCCGTTAACGAGTACACTTTGACTTCCGAGACCCGAGGACTTTCTCTTGCATCACTTTAAATTATTCTTGGCAAATTTTGAAATACTTCAAAGTTCAAAGGAATTTTCATATAAGTACTTACAGTTGCGAAATCCCAATTAAAAAATGCCATTGATCGTTAAATTATACACTATATATATATATATATAATTATAAAATATATTGCACGTAGAAAAATAACGTAAGCACTACTTGTTTCAAAATACCCCCCCTGTGCGTATCTAACTATTGCAAAATTTTATCTCCGGGACGAAAACCAAGCGAAAGTAAAACAAATATCAACGGAAAGTTATAAATGATAAACGTCCCGAGTAAACATTCTGGGTAGTTTTCCAGGTGCAGGCGCGAAGGACTGTCGCACCCTTATCGACCCAATGCCACCTAAAAGCACTTCGCACTCCTTAAGGCAAATCCACCGCCTCCCATTTTCGGTCCAGGCCCGTCCACTCTCCTTCCCCACGTCTGTCCATTCCCAGTGGCACCTCCCCTTCGATTTCTCACCTTTCCTCTCGACCCATCTTCTTCACGTTTTCCTCTACGGTGTTCACGTTAAGAAAAAAAAGTGAACCCAAAAGGAAAAAACCCAAAACTAACTCAACCCAACCAAACTAGTTGGCTGTGCTTCATTCCGCGCGGAACTGTTAAAGAGAGTGTCTCGTAGAGAGGTGGGAGTTATGGAGCGAAATATAGAGAGAAGAGAATCCGAAAGGCCTCGTATATGGATACCGAAGAAGGTGGCACTGGTGAACGCGGAGTTGATGGCCGTAGAAGGGTTAAGGCGAAACACAGGCTATTTCTTCCCACGTGCATTACGTCGTTATTCTTCTCCCCGAGTGTTCTCTCATATTTCTCGCCATTTCCACAAGTACGAGGCATCGTTTCGACTCGACACCCCACTGCGGACACAAGCCTCCACTCAACGCCATACTGCGCCCGTCTCTCGCTACGCTCTTGGCGTGGCATAAAAAAATATTTAAAAAATTCAAAAAAATTCAAAATATTTCCAAAGGTGTACTAACGTGCTGGTAATGTGTAAAAAAATTCTTCTCCACAATTTTGCACAGCATTGAATCACGTCGATCGGTGAACCATAATGACGAAAATTTTGACGTTGAAAAAAAAAAAACTAAATTTCACCCTAGCCGTATATATGGATGGCAGCTTTTCAAAGGAGACCATGCTGCGGAAAATACATCGAACGAGGAGGGGAGGTGGCTCATCTCTTGGATACTGGTTTTCAAAATTCGATGCCGCAACCGTACTGGCCTAAGTAGCCATTTATGTTTCGAGTTCCCGTCACCCCGAGACATATTCACCCCTACTTAACGCTTATTTCTAACACCCCTCGTAGTCTCATCCCGTATCATCCCCCTATTCTATACTTTAACCCTCCGAAATCCCAACCAATGGCGGACACGCTGAGGGGAATCCCATTGTTAGGTAGGACCAATCAAAGACGCGCGTGCGGACACATGCACTCGGTGACGTGTTGCTTTTGGGGAGGGACGCGCGATACGCATGCATTATAATGCATATCAATTTGCCTTAATGGGTTTGCGTTCACGCGTTCGCATCTGCGGATTAAAAATGCTTAAACGTGCCTATATGTCGCCGGCGACGGTATCGTCGTTAAATAAATTATTCCGGACGAATAAATATAATTTTTCATTAATATTTTATTTATAGTTTTGAGTGTGAAGGCACATCGTTTTGCCATCTTTCCGCACCCCTACGATCGTTTATAACTATCTTTCGTCACCCTCGGACTTCGATCCGACATCCTCACCCGTCATCGGACACTTCCGTGAACCTTCGTGAACCTTCGGCAATCTTCGTTAAATTGACGCGAGTCGTTATACATCCTATGTGTATACTCCTCGGCCGACCGTCTCGATTCTCAGGGTGAATTTCGAGTGGGACAAATATTTAGGTAGCGCGTAAGGGGACGCGCGACAAAGAGTGTTGGTAAACGTTTGTACTCGGGGATGAAGAGCAGCGAGTGGCTGAAGGGCACCCATAGCCAGAGAGAAGGGAATAAACAAGCGCTGCTCGAAACAAAGGGTCAAGCCGGTTTCGCGTGTAAGGGCTGTTTTGGAAAACGTCAATTTATTTCGGTGCGCGAATATAAGCTAAAGTGGTCGAAATCAAGGGCGTCGAGGTGCGAGACTGGGCTCCTTTTGTTTTCACCGTACAAAGATTCTTTTACAATGTACACGGGACTTCTCGGGTTGACAGAAGAACGTAAATTGGCTGGATGAAGTCATTTATTTATTTATTTATCATCCATGAAAATTTCCAAAATAAATATCAAACTCTCGTATACCCCTCATTAACGAGAAAAAAAACAGGCACGGTGAGTGTGCATTGAGCTGTGTGATAACGGCTCTTTTCCTCATTGGGGTGTTTTAGACGAAAAGCAAATTTAATCACGTGTTATTATTGCTGCGTGACTATTAGTGCCAGTCGCGGACTCGCCTCTACCAAACTCATCTACGTAAATCCAAAATAGAGTTATAGATACATAATTATAACCTAACATTAATGTCAGTGTCCTGGCTGATGGTTTTGTCTATTTGATTTTCTATACAGTATTGTCAACCCTGTATATAACGTGCGTGCACGTTATTTCATTAGTGATAATTACTTTTGGCGCAAGCATCAATCCACGTCAATATAGGTATTGTGTGCATGTATAAGTAATTTTGTAGGTACGATTGTAAAGCTTGAGATGTGGGTTCGCCTTGTGATTTTTTCTTCTTTTCTAATCAATGACAAACACGACAATATTTTAAAAGACACAGGTGATACGTCGTCTGCATCGATGCCGATCGTTAGAAATGTCAATCTGAATATTTTCTGTATTCAAATCTGGATGAGATCTTATGATTTTTTTTCTTCCACCGTTTTTAATCTAATTGTGGTAAATGTTATTTATATGTATATTTTTATATAATGAGACTCGGCGTGATGATTGCGATGGAAATTTCATTTTTAACTGTTCTTGAAAAAACGGGGAAATAAAATAAAACGAGTAAGAGAAAATGAAAAAGATGTACAGAAAGTTCGTCTTTTTTTTATAATGATAAAGTTTAATGATTAATACGCCGATGATTCGGCGTCGACGTCGCGCGTCGGTCTCGGGATCGACTTGAGTATTCGTATAAATATGTAAATACTATGTCCACCCGGTGAACATAAAACTGGACGATATATGGCCCGGTAATTTCTTAATTGCATCCCGAAATTCTTGTCATCGTAAAGAGGCGGTTGATTATATACTAAAAAGAAGTCGAAGAAGCGACGCCGGGTTGGACTAGAGAAAAGTCATTTGGACCGTATTTACATTCCATTTGTGAAAAAAATTCGGAGCCCTCGATAGATTTTTTATGTTCCGCACTCCCACGCTGGTGGCGCTGGTATTCGCCAAATTTATAACCGCTTCATAGTGAATCAGAGAGGTAAACTCGCCGAGAGAGGTTAGGTACTTCTGGTGGCGTTATAAATGCCCTAAAAGTATTTTTAAGAAATCTGACAAAGCATCTTTAACGTTTCTTCGAAGGACTCTGCTTCGTTTTTTTTTTCGGTCTACGTCGTTACAGTCCCAAACAATACATTTCTTGTAATAGAATACAGAAAGCCGACCAGGAAAGGTTAAGATTGTACTCAAGGAATGATTTCAAGATTTTTGCCTCGTAAGATACGTATATATTAATACCAATAGGTTGTATTTTCTGAATTACTATTTTCACATATTTATATGACTCAAAAATTCTAAATTTCCTTTGATACCGTGAATCGATGTACCAATGTACTGGTATAGATATTTGACAGGGCGACTTTTGTATGAAAACACCTACGAGAAATTCACAACGTTATAAGTCGTAAAGCTAAGAATAACGTATCGATACCCATTACCAGAAAGAAATAATTTCTTCCTAATACGAGAAGATCGAGCGAAGACAAACATTCCTACGAGTTTTCTTAAATTTTATTTTACAAACGTGAACGGAATGCCCTTCTACAACGTGCTTATTTATTACGTTTTAATTCTTTGTCTTCCCAGCGAATTCAATAGCTATTCCTGGTAGGAGGCCATAGGCTGCCCGAGTGCAGCCGAATATAAACAAATCTACAGTTCAGTGAGTAAGGGCGTCTGGTAGTCAAAACAAAAGTGTTGCGTAACTAAAGAGTATCAGCACGTTGTTTGTTATTTGAGTGAAAACGCAATATATTTTGCACGAGTATAAAATGTAGTTTTAACAGAGCAACAGAACGTAACGACTGTAAAATGTAAACTCACCGGTATGCGTTCTCTTGTGGATCTTGAGGTTCTCTGATCTGGCGAAGACTTTGCCGCAGCCGGGAAAGGGACAGGGGAAGGGTTTCTCACCCGTGTGAACCCTTATGTGATTGACGAGCTTGTACTTGGCCTTGAAGGCTCTTCCGTTTCTCGAGCATCCCTGCCAGAAGCACGCGTGCGTCGTACACTCCGGTCCACCCACGTGTTCCACGGTGAGATGCGTGACAATGTCATGGAGGGAGTTGAAGAGCTTGCCGCAGAGTTTCCGGGGTCCCGGAGTATCCTGGTCGACCCACATGCAGGACATCTCCTGCCTCTGAGAGCTGCCGCCTCTCATGTATCTGAGGAAGGCACCATGAGGATGACTGGGATGGCTCACGGCGGGATGTTGCTGATGGTGTATGGAAGGTGGAAGGTGAGGAGTACCAAGGTATTGATGATGAGGTGCCAGTCGACTGTCCTGAGGATAATGTCCAGGATAATGAGTGGCGGTCAGAGGATGCTGCCCGTGATGAGGAAATTGCTGCATAGTAGCCGCCGTGCTGTCGTGATGAAGGGGTGGAAAGAGCCCGAGACCGCTCTCGGGGGTCGTTGGGTTAGCCGTCGCATTGAACTCGTGTTCCCGTCGCAATAGGAAATCCCGAGCCGCGTATCCAGGATGTCCCATGTGATGGCCCATGTGAGGGGCCATGTGAGGCGTCGGATGGGGATGATGTGGATAGCTCTGAGGATGAAAGTGGTGTTGCTGAGGTGCCTCTCCCGTAGCTGGCTGTACTCCTGGACCGCCATCGGTCGCTGTACCACCCGGAGATAGTTTGATTCCTAGGTTCGCCAGGTGATGGGGATGCGAGGACACCCCGTCGAGGAATGCGTTCATCATCTTGATGATCTTGCTTCCTCAATTCCTTGTAGAATTAGGCTTCTTTTGCTTCTTCAATCTTTACACCAACGTTTCTTCCTCTTATTCTTCTCCCTCCTCCTCCTCTTCCTCCTCCTCCTCCTCCTCCTCCTCCTCCTTCTCCTTTGACGTCGACGTCTCTGAGGCGGATTTACTGCGTACACACAGTTGGAAGACCTCACCTAAACGTACCTTCCGATAAACTCACGTCGCGAGTCTTTACGATGTCCCGGCAGGGGCATCGCGGAACGAGACGATGACTGTTGTGCCGATCGGCGTCCCGAGTCGACGTCTTTCCCACGTGTAAATAAATATATCCCTGTTTGTGTCACCCCGACGCGTAGAGCATCGCCAGTGGGATGCTTTTCTATTCTTCTGCTCTGACGTCCCGAGTAAATCCACGTACCGTCGCACGGCCGCCCGCACGCACGCACGCACGCACGTACGGAAGGCACCTGAAGCGCACTGTCTTAAAGCGATAACGCTCACGAGCACTCCCTGTCAGATCAACCACTCCTTCTCAGTTCGTACCCCGCGCGTCAAAACTGGTCCAGCTACTACGGCAGTGGCGGATGGCTATCGCGGAAAAACAAACACTAACGTGGCGAGAGAGTGAAAATCCGTTGCGTTCCTTGCTGCGTTCACAGCGGGACTGAGTGAAGACTCGCCGCGGGGCCACCCGGCAATTTCGAAAAGACTCCCGTGGATCCCCTCTCCCCTGAAGCCCTCGCGGGTTGCCCTACGCCGTGGCCCGGCACCCCACCACGCCAACCCGTTTCCCCAGGATACCAGATCCCGATTGGCTCGTTGAGCGCAACTATCCATTGGAGTCCAGGCTACACGCCTTCCGGGCCAATGGCCGTACCTCCTGGGCGTTTCGTGACGGAAGGCGCATGACGGGGAGACGCCTTTCCCACGCCCTCTTAGCCCTCTCCCATTCGTTCGACCTCCCCACTTCAATTACACAATGCGTCCCTTTTTCATTCCTTCCTTCTTCTTCCACGTGTGCCTCTTCTTGGCGACCGTCGATGTCGCTTCTTACGTCGACTTCGACAACTTGTCAACGGCTCTTTCTTGTCATGGCCTTCGACACTGCGAGTTACGCCTCTACAATTCCCCTTGCTCTTTCTGTCACCAATAACTGTGAATAACCACAGAGTGAAAATAGTTTCGAAATAGCTTTAGAGATAAAGGACGGTATTGAGTCACTCCGATCGCTATATTTTCTCCCAATCGATCGCATTTCAAGTTTCCTTATTATTTTATCAGCTGGCATAGAAGTATTTATCGTAAAATAATATTATGATACCTGTTCATTTCCTACTTGAATAATCTATTTCTAATAGATGAGTTCTACTATATCAAAAATTATTTAAATAATACATTTTGTTTAATACAGATAAATTAACTGATCACACCAGTTTTAACGTTAATTTACATCATTATTTGTTGGACAAATGATAATACAATGAAATAATTAATCCACGAAAAATCGGTGTCAATTCATCTTACGTCTCAATAATTATCAAAATAATCAATAAACACATTTTTTATTACAGACACGTGCATAAGTGTATATTTATCTGACATTACAAAAGTAAACAATAAACGGTTGATGACACTACTATTAAGAATAATGATACAGATAACATATCATATGGATAACAATATTTACACATTATTTGAGTCTCATAAATAGGCGTCGATGAACTGTCAACGAGACGTCGATTAGACAGCGTTTCGTAAATCATAGATAAAAAGTAGGCATCAATGCAAAGTGGAAGCGAATGTATTTTAACCTCCCTTCGTGCATGCCACGGTTATACCTAACACTAGAATCGGCATAAAAGTACAAATAATAAAAATTTCCATAAACACGCGACCCCGTCGTTTGAGTCCGATAGTTTGAAAGAAAAGAAATGAAAACTCCCAGCCCATAAGATTAAGTTAAAATGATCAGTCAGTCGCCTCTACGTGAGCTAATGCCTACCGGATAATGTGTTTTCTTGCATTTGAAAGCCCGTAAAAACAGCACGAAAAACTTTTAGAAAGACAGCTACTGCTGGCTATAATCTGTCACTGAAGTTAGGCCTACCTCCAATGCTATTATTCTTAGATTGACGACGAAAATGATTTCATGAATTGAAACAGCAACATAACCTGAGCGAAAGACCTTATTAAGCATTCGAAGAAATATATTGACTTACCATTGTCAAAGAAGAATATGAGGATGATTCACATTAGGGTGCGATAAGCTTACAGTAGAGGTTATTACAGTATGAATTACAATGCTAATAACTCCAGCAGAGTGTCATGATTTTATTTAGAATCCCATTGTCACGATGCTGTTAAGTTAGGTATTACTCCAGGCACTAGTAGGAAGTTCTGTCGCGTACACTATACACTCTCTCTAGTTGCTATATTCGCATGAGTGTTTCTTCCCTTCAAGATTGACTTACAATTAGTATAAATAAGTACGACGCTGTTGATCCCGTCGTCATAGCTTCCGTCGAGCGATCATAGATGGCGCAGGTACTCCCAGTACCCGGCAAGTATTGCGACCATAGATGTTGGGTCTTTCAATAGAGTTGTGAATAACAAGAATTAATAGGACTATAATCCCGACACCTAGCGGTGGCCGACCTTTGTTAGCCAATAAACAAATAAACTTAGGTCTACTCGTAGCCGTTTGTAGAAATTAGTGAAATCCTTTTTAAAATCCGGCCTTTCCCAGCTCGGTTTCATTCGACCATCAGTCAAATACAATAGACTCCCCTCCACCCCCCGTTAACAAGACAATACATACCGACGGTCGATTCTTCCTGCATTCACTGTCCTTAGCATCCCGTTGTCGCACCAGGTCTTCGTGAAGCTTCCTGACACATAGCTCCGATGGATTTTCCTCGCTTATAATCAACGCAGCCATAACATTACAGACTGAAGGACAATCGCACGAGACGTGCTACGAGCCAAAAGAATCTAACCTCCTCGCAGCGTCTACTTCTTACTCGAAAACAGGTTTACTATTATCTTCGTTAAAAGCATATGTTTCGACTAATCTCTTTCGATCATTTGAAGCTCTCTGGGAGGCGCTGACATGGATTATCCGGAAAAAGCGGATTAATCGATGCGGGGTCCTTCTTAACTACTTTCTCAAATTGTTTCTCAGAGACACCTGTGCCTAGTACCCATGGATCCTTAGGATGGCGCGCAGGTGCCTCTCTCCAAAGTGGGCAAAACTTATGTTCTTATCTGCGAGTAATCTTTCGAAGAACAGTGTGAAATCGCTTACCTCGTCAAATTTTCCATGGCGGACACGTTGCTTGGTGCGTTAGAGACTCGTAGTTTTTCTTAATATTTTCCAAACGGTTCTTGCCTGCCTTCGCATTCTACCTGCTCGTTTTAAAATAATTGGTACAAGTACTCATAAATGGCTAAAGGGACAGTTACCCGAAATAAATTGAAAGAATCTTGAAAATTGTGCAAGTAAACATCATATATCAATTCAAAATGACATCTGATTCCTTATTAGGTTAACAATCCGTATGCTAATTTATGACACTAATTTCAAATATTACTGTTAATATTTTTCTATCGCGTAACGCCGATACCGATATAGTAAAATCGTCACATTGAACAGTCGCATTCGCACTGTGTAAACAATCGCTAAACAGTGATCCAATGTGAACGAGCCCAAAAGGCACGTTCTTTCGTTTTCGAATTTATTCGTAAATAGCATAACGATATAACGAATAAATATAAATATTAACTTGAAGATCAAGTTCTTAGACTCAACACGAAGTAAGTATACAGAATATAATCCATGCTGTAAGGAGAATAAAATGTCAAACAATGTATATATATAGTGCCAATTATACTTCGTCTCTATATTAAATAAAGAGTATACTCCAAACAAATAGAATAAATTCTATACCATTGGTATAGAAAGTACCTAAAGGCAGGTTCATATTTCTCGAATCACCCTAACCCGATGTACGAGTTCATGCCGAGTTCTCATTTAATGAAAGGAACCATATCGTCGCGACAAAAAACGACAATCATTACTTGTAATGGGCCTGACTATTTGATATTTATATCTCTCATAAGGAGTATCTCTATATACAGTTACGATGCATACCTCAATAACCTCTTCCATCCACCTTCTGTCTCTTACGCACACCGTTCGACCTATCTCTCGCACGCACAATATCTTCGTTCGCTTATACACGTAAGATAAACTTATATCCATTCTACGTTCACGGACACAAGCCGGTCATTGTCTTAGGCCGGTCATCACTCACAGGCAGTGCAGTCATTATATTTAATTAATCATTAGGCTGAATGGCTCGATTTATTACTGCAGCCTGCAGCCGGAGCTACGAGAATTTTGAGGTTAGGAGACGCAAGGTAAGTGAGCTTGTACCCTGCTTCCCTAAGGGATGGAGTTTCTCCGATGGATCTCTTGGAGGCTTTCACATCCCCTGTCTCAAGTTTATATTCCTGGACTTCCCCCCCGCACCTCCGCACCATCACCTGCACACCACTTTCATATATTCTCACTCTCTCTCTCTCTCTCTTTCTTCCTTATAGCGTCCACTTTTAAATGGCTATGGAGGAGGACGAGTAATGCACGATCGTTACTCTCTCAGGGCTGTGATTACTCATCGGAAGTGGTTTTAATTTATAAACGGCGACATTTTATTTGTTGGGCGTCACGGGAAATGCGTTTGGAACGTGAGCGATAGCAGAGGTACGTTCGGTAGGTACGAGTACTAGGAGGTATCTGAATGCTATTGGCTGCTCACTGTAGTAGGTACAAAACCGTGAAGAGATATATTTACACCGTAAACTTTCTTTCTATGCTTCGGTAATTCCGTTACGTCGCAGTGCATTTACGCTACTTTAGACTTTTGATTAGGTTTGTGGCAGTGAAATAAGTACTGTGGGTATGAGGGGAAGGTTGAAAATTTTTTCACTAGAAATTCGATTTTCTGGATTTTCGACGTCAAATGGGTAATGGTATGCACTATTTAAAAGAGAGTGTCATGGGATTATGATTGATCCTGAGATTGTTGATAATAATTTGTGAGTGGATGTTGAAGGAGGTATCGTGGCTTCCGGTCAGTTTGAAATGTTGAATTTGGGGGGGGGGAGCGGCGGTTTGATGAAGGTGTGGGGGAAAAATGGTAAGAGGGGAATATTGGTGAGGGGGGAAAGGATGTATGGAAACAAAGGGGGGTGATGAAGGGGTAAGTTTAGTTAGTCGACGACATCTTCAAGACATAGAGCAAACATCTTCAAGAATCCGAAAAGTGGACATAATTACAAATGTCTGGGAGGTTTACGGGCCAGTAAAATCAGGTTACGATCTACTAAATACGTTCGTCATTCGGGATAGGTAAGGCCCAGAGGTAAAAAAAGGACCAAAGGGAACCGCCAGATGCGACCGACACGCAGAACCTTGTAGATTCTGCATTCAGATCCGAAGCAGTCGGATACCTGAGGTGATCCAACTCGGAACAAACCGAGATCTTGTCTCTGAGTCATTAGAGAAATGACAATCAGTGTCGGCTCGCTGCAGGAGTCGATTTTGGTTTTGACCTCTGTCCGCAATTATTTTTTAAGTTTTCATCCTTTCTAATGTATAAAATGTCATTTTACGTGAATTTCTTATATTCTTTAGTCAGTATCTGGTAACTTCATCCTGTGGATTAAAAATTATTTAAAAAAAAATATTTTGTGTCACGGAAAATATTGCAAATTATTTTGGTTTATATGTATATGTATGAAATTTTTTTTTTTAAATAATACCTATGTCAAAATGTCATATTTTTGGGGTAAATTCATTGTTTCTCAACTGCGTATACTTGAGTCGGAAGATGACAGAGTGCAGGGCGGCCCAATGTAGTTGAGCGATAAGATTGGTACCACTGATTCACGCAAAGATAAAGAGCGATACATATCTGTGCGTAGATGCCGACAAAAATATGACCGAACCTGCCGCACGAGAATGCATCATCTCTCTACGGCGCAAGAGGAACTGTCCGGCGCGGCGGTCGCGGTCAGGCCCCAAAACCGAAGTCATGGGGGCCCCATGGAAATGAAAAATCCTCGGAATATGATAATAAAAATTTTCGGCCCTCTGGCGGTCATTCCAATTTGAATAGCCAAGGCGCTTAGCTCCGCGAGTAAAGGGACAATGAAATATGTACGGCTCGTGTTCTACGGACGGGATAAGATATAAGGAAAGGGAAAATATGTGTCCGGAATGATTTATGCAATGTGGAATTATTTGAGTTATGTTCGCGTAGCCGACTTTATTCCTTCCGTACTGAGCTATCGTCCGAGGACACGCGATTCCGTCGCGACCGATATTTCTCAACGTTATTTGAGCCACTCTCGTACGAAGAGCCACAACGGATAGAGGAAAATCAAATTACTGAAGAAGGAGAACCATACTCGCCGGTCCTGCCACCTAGCGGAAACTTCGTTAACTATCATTTTCGCACGAGCCACTACTACAGCGCCACAGCGTTTCTCGCGGAGTTAAAACAAACTTTTACTCCAGTTGCTTCTATCTCGTGCATTTTTCGTTGACAGCCACCTACCGATTCTGTGATTTACTGCTCAAGGTAAGGAAAATAACATCTTCCGAGACATTAATATTTATTGTTTCGCACACGTCGCCTCGAATGATTTTACGAGGGAATTTACAACTCCACCCGTTGTTACCGTTGGACGTTTTACGGCATATTACCCAAGCAAAAATCAAAATATCCAACCATCCTTTCATTCGATTCTCTCGAAATACTTTTGTATCCCTTTTTCTCCCCTTCTCATCCCACCAACCACCGTCACAGCCCTCATTCACTTCTATCCAGGAAACTTTAAGGAGCGGAACGTCGTATTTTTTTCTCTATTAGGCAATTATGCCCCGTGTGTCGCTCGCGCCTGCTCAAATATAAAAATGCAGGACGAACCAGCGACCAACGTCATTGCTGCCGCCGTGAGTGTTCACCGATTATATCGGACTGTGTTTTATTTATATTGATGTTTCATCCTTCGGACAAAATGGTTCGTTAGTCGACTCACCCCCACGGACGCAAACAGCCGAACGTAGACTTACCCCTAAAAAATGATCGTGCACCCCCCGTTGTGTAGCAGATGCAACTTTCCTAGTATAGTCCTTGGCTGTCGTATAGATATATACACTGATGGCAATGGCGACCCTCTCGTTTTCTTGAAATATTAGATTATCGAAATACTGATCCATTATGGAGATGTACGTCTAGCATTGATATTACACCGATGACGTAATTTCCTAAAAACACACTATACCTATAGGCATTTTGATAACGAATTGGATACCACGAGCCAGAAGTAATCAACGTTTTATAGACGGACGCATAAACAATGGAGATTTTCGAAGATTCGTCAAAAATAGAACAAACGAATGAGTCGTAACGTACTCGACGCGTGATCAATGCCGGCAGTAGGCAGCTGCTTTAATATTTTAATAAATTTAATATTACCATAAACTATAATATATTCATGAAGTTTGACTCCAGGGGTGCTAGGTAGCAAACCAGCCATGAAATCAATCAACCTTCAATTACAGTCGTATTTGTTTCTCAGTTTATTTTACCCAGATTCGTTATCGACCTTGTGCCATATAATCGGCCTTATTATATAACACTACCGTTATCTTACACAAAGGCAAAATAAATTGATGAAATGGGAGCCAATGTCGAAATTATAATAATTTTCAAAAAATTATACAAATCTTAACACAAGGGCCCCCCGTACCGTACTTCTTAATGATCTGGTGTTAATCACTCGAATGCTCTATTGGAAGGTAGAAAAAGAAACTCGAAAAGGGATCCCAGAGGACACCAGCTATTTACCAGGGAAACGGCTGGAAATACCATGGTGAATTATTATAATGAGTGTGACCCCTTCTTAAGACAAAGAAGATAGGTAAACTGTAACTCATGGACCGTTGTACATTGCCACGCCCTTTTTTCGTTTTAGTCACTTTTGTAATTCTCGTTTTGGTTATTTTTCCCATTTTCGTCATCTCGATGATATCCGACCACACAGTGTCCTTGTTGTGCTCAGAATTTCATCCTGACACTATTGCTATTGTTTTGCGTTCCCGAAGATGCCGTGCGAAAATAAATGCATATACCAAAATTTGTATACAAATTTTTTTTGGGCCATATAAATAAAAATGCAATAGACTACACGTGACGAACGCGAAGAACGAGTTTTTCATTTTCATTGACCAGAAACCTAGTCGTCGAAATGATGAAGTTTTTTTTCATCTGTTATTAATAATTTTTTATTAAATTAAAAAAATGTCTTACTGTATATAAATTACGTAGATAATTGTAAATTAACAAACTGTAACATTCATGGGAATGGCAAAGACGAACAATGGTTTGTAATTAATATTTTAATTAGCACACTGCAGGTTCATCTGACTCCTTTGTACAGCTCAAGGATATACAATTAGAGAAGTCTAATATTATAAAACGTAACAATGAGAATTACATTTGATCTTAAACCTTCATTCTCTCTCGAGTGTCTATTGTGATCGTTGAAAATGATTATTCAAATTTATACAGTGTTACAATTACACCGTTTATAATGCACGCATTAATTCATTTTTCAAAATGAATTGTCACCTCCGCGATCTTCTTTTGCATCCTCTATTATTTCAAGGACCTCTTCTCTCTCCCACGACCGGAAACTGCTTAATTTTCTTAGGAAGAACTATAGCCTGGCTTGCAATAACGGGCGACTACCGGAAACACCACTAATGAGAGAATAGAAAGGGTGGACAGTGAATTGCAGATGAAAATGAATTGAATGAATAGAGTGAAGTGCCTCCGAGTGGCGGGAAGTGAGCAACTTCAGGGCTCACCCCTCGTCTCATCGCTCCGACAACTGCATAACCAACCAACGAACTAATAGTCGTTAAGTAATCCAGCAAATTCTACAGTTGCATTGCTAAGCAGTGCCTTGGAAAAAAAAGTGAAGCTGTCATAGATGAAACGACGCAAAACCTCAATAAAGCAGTAAACTGTCTAGTATAGAAGATTTGAATTTTCCGAAAATTTATATTATTGCTTTGAAAAAATTAAACGTCCGAGCGAGTCTGTTACGCTCTACGTCGTAGCGTGTTGGACGGGCTATCGTTTGAAATGCATTACCCCATTGAGCATATTAACATTCCAGCCGTGTAGAAAATGCATCATGATCAGTGGGCACAATGTGCCCGATGCATTTGCCTGTCTGCACTGGATACAAACGTACGATTCAGAATGTGTAGGTGATGACTAATAGATTTCGAACTCTACTCCATCCATCTCGACTCTCGAAACCTCGATACAAATCGAAAGGCTCGATGTGCTTCTATCCCTCTATTCTATATATCTATTGATAGTTCGAACGCATCCGAGTTTCAAGATGCATTTATAACATTGGCCACGGGAGAAAGAACGGGCCTAACAGGCGAACAGGCTTTTAGCCGCCTTGAATCTTCGCGGGGGATAAGAATCATTTTGTCATTAGGTGCTGCCAGCTCTCGGGGGAGTCCGGAACGATAGTGGAAACTATTTTCGTGTTCGACCGCTGCGGAAAATCAGTTTCCTTTCAGTGCTTGATCTTGCAATTTCGCGGCTTAAGTAGTGATTTCAGGTGCATTGTGTGTGTGGTGTGTCCAAGATAATTGACTTTGTAAATTCTTAGTTGTCTGGTAAATGATGTAGTTTCTTGGAAACATAATGTGCCGTCTGTGTAAGCTTATATTCACGTGTCAAGAATTGTAGGTTATATGCTTGTGCTTCGAACTTGTTTCTCGAATTTAATAAGTACGAATCCCTTTGAAATAAAGGTTGATAAAAAAAATACACTGGTAATTAACGTGACTCCTGGTCGTGAAATAATTTTTATCATCGATGATGTCCACAGGGATCGCGGCGCCACTCGGAGCCAATTAGACAGGACAATTAAAGTATTGTGCCGTTAAACAGCGTTCCTGACTACGGGAGAGAATGGCCTAATCCTGAATTCCAAATGCTTCAAGGCATCAGCAGGATGTTGCGGGATGCTGTATCGAGCAGGAGGTATGTATGTTTAACATATGTACGATATAAAATTGTTCCTTTATGGTTTAGACACCATAACATAACCTCTTAGATATCTTCATTGGTGTCATTGCTTTCAGAGTTAATTCTACTGGGATGTGACGGAAATTTCTTGAACGTAGTATTACAGATTAATTCTCGCAGATAATCTTTTCTGTGCCCGCTTAAACTTTCCGACGCTTACTCAACCTACAACCAATGTCGCTAACGTCGCAAAGTACATTGTGAGATATTTCCCGGACGCACGGGATGTTGACACTTGGCCTATACGTCTTTTGTAAAGCTTTTAAGTATTATTTTTATCTATTATACAAATATTTTGTAAGATCGTTCAAAATCGACGAGCGACACTTACATAATCAGATCAGCTAAAAGATAAAGCCTCATGTGTTAATGGAATGCAACATTAAATGTAAGTCAACAGTAATTACAATAATTTTCACAATAATACGGAGAACATTCTAAGAACAAGAAGTATCACGGAAATGGCGCTGGCGAAATACTAAGTCCAATATACAAAAAAGACTATGGGAATAAGAACGAGGTAGTCAGTTACAGATGAAAATACATGTATGTGAAAATATATATATATATATTATCAGTCGATTTTATAAAATTGTAAAAGTCAATACGCACAATATGTTGTACAAACGAAATTCCGCTATTTCTGAATAAAACCTCATTTTAAAAAAAACTCTTTATCCAAGCTAGATGACGTATTTACTATTTTGCTAGAACAGTAGAGACATCAAAGATTCCTTCAAGAATAATGCACTGCTAAGCCATTTGATAATACCAGTGTATTTTGATGACTACATTAAAAATATGCTTATGCTCAACTTTTTAAAAGGCTAAGTCATTCGTACAGGTAAGACTCGCTTAAAAAAGGTCGAATGCAACATTTCGTGAGCATCGATCACGAAATATTCGTGACGTCATGACGACATTGAAATAACACCTTACGTGCACGAAAATCGTGTCATGCACTTGGGTGACGTAGCTATGTATATTTGCATGTGGAATAAATGTAAGCCTCTGTAGCGAAGAGTAATACGGAACCTAATTTTTTTTCATAGTCTTTACGTCAGCGCCAGTAATAGACAGAAACGATGAAATATGGTGTACTATAAATAATGTTCGATAGAAATATTTTGTCACCTTTATTGCACAGTACTTTTTTTCTTTCTTATCGTAAACTCTATGGCTACTTGTTACCTACGGATAGTACTATACGATGCGAAAGAGCGTCCAGGTTAGGACCTGCTATTTGAGCTACTCTATGTCCTTTGAACTTACGAAAGTTAACGATAAAGCGTCCCACCCCAAGTACGGACGACACAGAAGTACATGGAAAGGAACTTCAAACTCATTTTATGACCTATCGTAACTCAAAGCCTGTACATAGATAGGCAAAAGTTAATTCGTCGTGTATTTTTGAGAATTTTATGGCTCAGTTAAAAGCCATACGTAACGCGAATGATCTTTGAAAATGTTAATTGACTTTTAGTCATTAACAGAATGCGCGATGGCGCAATCTAGTACAGTTATCAGAAGTTTTTTCTTGTTTTGATTACTCTAAATTTCAGGCGATTTTTTTATATTGTGAGATGAAGGAAAGCTACGTTCTCAAATAGAATTGCTCTTGTAATAATAAATATTATTTTTTTCAATATAGATATTCATTTTGATCATATATATCAGGGTAAACGGGTTTACTATATGGTTTGGTCCAGATTAATCTCTCGAATTGAATGCCACAAAAAAATTTTTTTTAAACTGACTTATGCATGTGCTGATTAGAACCAGTTTGAAAATAGATTTAGGACAAATCTGGAATTTAAGTCACTCAATACTCATATATCAAATATATGAATATTTATTTATTATTAACATTTGGATACCGCTCTTAGTTAATGGCACTAAAAAATAAGGTGCATCTCACGAATAATATATTTAATGTATCAATCTAGCATCATTGTACGATAAATATCTAGAGGAGTGAACAGTTTTTTACGGAGTCTCTTGATTAACATGGAATGCATGTTCATGTAATATACATTAGAGTGAATGTAGATTCTATATTTAGATAACAGCTATAAGCATTAACACGTTTTATTGTTATAAATAAAAATGCGTTGATGCTGATTTCTATTATATATTTTTACAATGCATAAGATTAGGTGAACACGCACAAAATAACAGCACGGATTTGAGATAAGGAAGATGATACTGATATGAAATGTATGACATGTATGACAGCTATGAATTATTCATAAAAAAAAGATATTGAAAGTTGGGAAATTGAAAAATCAATATGAAAGCCAAAGACATGCTTATAGAAATTTGCAAAGATAAGAGAATAGATAAGATGTAAAATAGTCAAGGTCAGAAAAGATCAATACGATTAGGAAGATATGACAAAGATGTAACGTCAAAAATGGATGATGGACCGTCGCGACGCTCTCTCACTCCAAATGGGAGTGGCGCACGTGGGTGTGTCTTCTTTTTCGTCTCTCTCTCTCCAACGCCCTATACTTATTTTTCTCCCTAGATCTTCATCTCTCTCCCTCGCGTTGTCTCATCCAGTCGTACCTGTCGTGCAAAAAAAATAACCTACATGTGTGATTTCGTGTTCGCACGACCTACAAACACAGTATGATGCCAAATCGATCAACTTTTTGTCATTTTGTTAAAAATCCCATGTTACGTCGTGATATTAGATAAGGTTAAATAGATACCTAATTCTGCAGACGTTTTCTAGTCCAAGGTTAAAGCATTCGTGTTACGTAATAGTGTCGTCGCATTGCTTATACGTAAAATTGTGAAAAACAGGTATAAAATTGAAAGTTTCTTTCTGCACGAATTTATGATAAACATGATACTAGAGAATTTGGACACTTGACGTAAAAATGTTGATTTATTTATATAAATTGTAAGCCAACGTGATACAGGTACTTTATGGGTCGTTACGATTATAAGTAATAAAAAAATTTTTTTAAATCCAGTTTCATTATCTTGCCTAGTTGCTTACCGAGGAACCGATGTTTTTCAACTGCATTCCTTCTACGTTTCCTTTTTGGAAATATATATATTTTTTTTAAAAGCTGCAGCAATAATACCTTGAACTGTGCTGGTTACTCAGAAAAGTCATGGAGAGCCAATGCTCGTTCGTTCGGAATGGTTCGCAATAAAACTTGTTTTTGTAGGGTGCGTCCTTCTTTTCTTCCGTTTTCCTTTTTTTTTTCAATGTCCGCAACCCTATAAGTATTTCAGCGGGATGCAATCTTGGGGCAGAGAGTAAGTTAAGTGTGACTGCATCCCATCGATCCCTTCATATAATATTTTCTTAAAGTAACTATACCAACGCGCCCTTGACTGTATTTGCAGCACGCTCCCCCTGTACATTACCGTTCACTTTGGGGTAGGTCACGCATTGTATTCGTTTCCGCCATGTGCCACACACACGACTTGGGAAAATAAGAAAACGATTTTTCACGAGAAACGTAAACAGGCTCCGAAAATTTGGAATTCATTTGAAACCTTGCCACCAACCATTCGACGAATAGTTGACTGGTAAATTTAAATGAGCTGACGAACAATTGATTTTCTCATATATTTGTAACACAATGCTTTTGCTATGAAAATTGAAAAAAATTCAAAAATCAAAATAATTTTTTATAGTTAAAATTGTCAATATTGACCCAAATATGGTATTGCAATTAATCCTTATTGGGGACAGTGTGTAAAAAGAATTGCATGTAAAAAAGGATAAATAGGCAGGAGCAAAGAATAAATAAGAAAGAGCTACTCGTGAAGTCTAAAAGAGTAGAGAAGGAAGAGGCTGGTAGGAGGGGATATAGGGTAAATGTGGCGAATTCCTGTCGACCTAAACGAATTCGTGAAAAGCTGCATGGGGGTCCAAAAGCCCCGTGTCACAGCTCATCCCGTGCGTATATTGGCAGGATATATCTCCATCTTGTAGAAATTTGAAAAGTACGAATACAAAGAGAGTCCCAGAGTCTTCTTGAATATCGACTACGAGAACAAGGGTGGGACCACCAGCAGTCGCCGAGGGTTACACTCTAAATAGCCGTAAACGGCAAACAAATGGGAGCGTGGGTTCCGGTTCGACAAAAGTCGAGACGTCACGTGCTGAGAAAGATCTTAGTCGGGTTTTGCGGATTAACACTTTCCAATTTTTTTTTTGTTCCTCAACAATGAACACCTTTTTTTTTCATTTCCAGTCCTACGCATGCAAACGTCCCCGATTCGTCGATGGATACATGACTATTCGGGCTGGGAAATTATGGAGCAGAAAGTCACTTGGTTTCGCAGAGTCTCAGAGATTGGAACTACAATGAGGCCAATTCGACCAACGAAGACGCTTCACTCGTAGCGACCTTGGTTCGCAAGTTCCAACGATGCCAATCACACGTAATGATCCCGCAAATGCTGTCTCGTGAATGATGACTAACGAAGCAATCAGTGTTCGTGTACTGGTTTTTTTGCAGGCTGTTTAGACGCTTGGTCCGGTCTGGTGAAGCAGGAACCAATCCTACCTAGCCGACCAGTAAAGCTAGTCTGCTCGCTGGGTAACGAATGCTTGTAAAACAGCGACTGTCAGGTATCACGCATAATTTACTCAATTACGTGTCTCTTTGCTGGACAATTAATTATGATTAATAAAAGAGACGCCAGGTTGGTACATGGAAATAAATAAGAGCTGGTATGTGTTAATGATTCATGTGACAGGCACGCATAATGCGGGGTATCTGTAATTCACGTGCAATTGAATAACGTCCCGTCATTTTCGAAGCTGTTACTAATACGGGTATCTTGGATTCGTCTATGAAGAAATTAAAAAGTACGTTCAACTGCATTGTTGTGTTATATGTATTTAAGAGCAAGGTTTTTTTTTATAATATTCCTTGTTTATTTGTTTTACATCAGTTTTGTGTATTTCACTGTTGCAGAAATAACTGGAGTCTTGAGGTATCGAAATTGGAGGAAGACTGAACCAGTTTTTCAAAATCTTTATGATTGCTTCAGCAACTGGGGGCAGCAGGAAGGATGGCAGTTCTGTATCGTCCACCGCAACTCTATAATTATATTATTAATTAATTCACTTAAGGTTGTTAATTCAGCAATGCTGGCTTGCTCGGTAGTTTTATTAATTTTTGAGGAAGTGATTCTTTAACTTGTAGGAATCGATGAACATTTCTCTAGGAACATTGTATATCTAGATATATACTCACGCATCCTGTCCTGTAGTAAGGCGAAGGGTTGAACATTCCATCCAGTGGTGAAACTTGGGATGATACTACCTCCATGCGTTCGACCGGCTGCAGATTTAATGGTCTTGCTAAAACTACTCTTTCCTCAGCCATTGCATTACCAAACGATACAGGGCTAGCGCCTAGACCTAATACATTTCCTCGACTTGTTAGCCTTGATCCGCAACCACACTTAGCAAATGTTGGACTTGCCAAAGCTAAAATATAAAAAAAATCATTAATTCAAATACCAAAGTACAAGTAAATACAGGATATAATATTAAAATTTTGTAGGAGAACATACCATTTTTTTATAATACAGAATAAGTTAGTGATTTATTTTTTCAGAAACTTCTTCCTATTAAAACTTCAACACCTTACTGGTGTCGAGGATTCTTGATTTTCATAATAGCACAGCAAAGAATTTTTAATGTAAACCAAAATCGATAGAGAACTTATTTTAATATCTGTTACTAATATTTCTGCCTTCTCAAAATCATATCCTTTGATCCATCCAGGAAAATCCTTTCGATTCACAAGCAACAACTCTTAACTCACTTAATGGAAACGTGATACTTGATACTCACAAATTTGAACTATAGCTGCGAAGGCAGCAAGAAGTACGAAGAACTTTGCCATTTTCTTAAAGTCGATGTGATTTCTTTAGCGAATATGATGATGATCTCTGGACGGCTCAACATTTATACACGAATATCCTCCCTTAATCAAGACCAGTACGTGACTCCGCGTATAACATGATCCAAACTGTATCGAGAAGAAATGATAAGAAGTTGACAACTCTTCGTGTTAAAATCTGTAATATTTATGAAATTTACTAACAGGCAATTTTTACATTGTGCCCGTAGAAATGATTAAAAATGCAAAAAAATTTAATCAAATATCGAACGAAAATAACATTTGCCTTTTAACATTGCCTTACACAAGAAAGTATTATTCTCCGTATTTTATTCCGATCCACTATGAGGTGGCTGTTAGCGTAAATACAGCAGCATATCGGCCCAATAATAATAACCCCATAAAGATTCGTATCGAGTTGAGCGCCAAACAAGTGAATGGCATTAGTTTGATGTTATCGATATAATGCCATAGAAAATCACTTTTGCTTCAGCAAAGGATCGTATCCGATAGGGTGACCCCAGGAGTTCCCCACTGGGGTACACGGAAACTCTTTCAAGACCACATATCGAGTACCTAGACATATAGTATACACTGGATGTTTAACTGAATGGCTGAACGCTCGTCGATCCAGTTCCTCAGCATCACTGTACACTTATGGTGTTTTTGGAACTTTTGATCCTGAAGACTCAGCCTGTTCCTTTTTCAATGTCTATATATTTATTTTTGTCTTTTTCAAAGAATTTCCTACAGCACTGGGTTACACATTATAGATGGATGATCAGAGCTTAGGATTGGTATGGTGTTTTGAAAATGGCAAGAATAATCGGCGACTCAGATGTATCTTTATTTGTGTTTCTCATGGTTCGTAGATCAGCAGGTGCCTGCGGGCTCCGAGAATTCAAACGATATTTTCCATCGAGGTTAACAGATTATAAAGATGTCCTGGGATAAATATATTACACCTGTATCAAGCCATTTTCCCATACACCCTCGCAGTGTCCGAATCCCCCTACGCCTTCAGGGCGTGACTCTGAAAACCACCAGCATCCAAACACCATAGAATGGATTCTATACCGAGGTCCATGGGTCCCCGTGCAGCGACCGAATCTACCTGACTTATGGGGGCCCAACATTCGGCATTATTTATGACCAAGAGGATCCGAATGCCCGAAGAGAACAGACTCGTTCTATGGCTTCTCCGCGAACCAGACCCACCGCTGTACCTTTCGTGAAATCCTCCTAAGGAATAGTGCCCATGACAAATTTACCAAAAGCGACACTTTTACTCCTTAGAAAATTCGAAAGTGCGACTTCACCCTCTTACCACCGATCGTCAAGAATTTTACTTAAATAGGGATTCAATGAAGAGATCGACAATATTTTTGAAAATATATATTTTTTCAATTCAATTAATTATTTTACAAAAATCTTATTTCGTAATATCAAATTTAAATGTAACATAAGAACGTGCGTGGTGTTCACACAAATTTTTCATAACTCCTCATTTGTTAGGTTAGGGTTGTATAAAGACAGAGTCAGTTACGGCCGTTGTTTATGTTGTCACTGGGAGCTACTCAGTGTTGTGACTCGTTTCGAAAAAATCATCAAACCGAACACGTAGTTGATTTTCGCGTCATACGTGTGTTTACCGACAGATGAGCTGTTTGTGCAATTTCGAGGTTATCTTATTTTCACGAGATCACGTATTACTCAAATTTTCATGATATACCAAATATTTGCTAGTTACTACGTTTGCCTTGTTTCAAGTATTTCTCAGGGGATATGAAATTGTCTTTACTAAATATTGTCCTAAGAATTTTCCACATATTTTCGTAACCATCCGTAAGTAATGATCAGCAATAACAGCAATAGGTTGTCTCGATTAATTGATTAAATACTAGACCTATCATAAACGATAAATGAAATGGTGAGATGATGCGGGCTGTAAATAATTACCGACGCAATGACTATCGCTGTTACTTGGTTGACATCCGACGCTCGACACTCGACGCTTGACGTCCTTAATGCCGATCAGCAATTATTCTACAGCGGGGTATGCTGTAAAATGCCGAGGTCGTAATTCTCGTCGATGTGACATATTTAATTACTTTCGTTTTATACGTTGCTAATAGTCCCAGTGCCAAGCTCGTAAATATCTGTTTTATCGACTGTGCAGCATTTTTACCGGTACGTCAATTCGAAGTTTTACAGACAACGTACATGTTATGGATACAGGAAATTACGAAGTATCACGTACAGAAGTGCATTCAAGATGGCGTACGATTTACGGTATAAAACTAGTTTACTAGTTTGATTTTTCTTTTTGTAGAAAAAAAAGAAAGAGGCTCAAGTGGACTCTCGTTAAATAACGAAGAAATCCCTAGGCAAATATACGTGTCCTTGACGGAGTAGTAAGTCCTGTGCAGAATCCTCAAATTGACATCTTCCACGACCAGTCCCACTCATGGGATCTTCCAGTCAGGTATAACGATCTTTGGTCTCATCCTCCACGGAATATAAACTGTTTCTGGGAACGAGGAGTCGTATATCTTCCCGAGCGACAATGCCTTCCAGAGTCACTCACCCACTCACCCAGTGGCCTCCGATGTAGACACGTCGTTCGACTTCGAAGTATCCTCGAAAATGATCATTCATTGAGACCTGGTGAACTGGTTGGTCCCGTTTACCTACGACAAATTAAACAGAAATTTTGGATCATACTGAAATTTTATTTTTGAAAAAATTTATTAAATTTTTTTTTTCAATGATCCATGTCCGATCAAGTCATCACTCGTGTCCCCTTTAAGCATAAATTTATCCAACGTTAATTGAGTAACGAGTTTGACAGTTCCTGTGCATGAACATCAGAAAATCAGTGCAAATATTTTCCAAGCAGCTTTAGGGTGTATAAAATAAAAAGAAAAATTTCATTGAGAATTCAAGGGAGGATGGTGACACTCTTGTCGAGGCTGGTCGTCACCGAAGAGTGACTGGTCGAACTCTGTGGTATTTTATCTGGTAGTAGGTATCTTGTCATCTGGCATTAGTACTCGAGCCAGTCATCGGTGACAGATTCTTATCGAGGACGTAGGAGACACGCCGTCTCACCGAACTCCTTTCTCGGTCACACCTCCGGGATCTACGGAATTAAGGGACGCCCAACCAAATCCCCACAACGTCAATTCACATCTAGATTATTTCCAAAGGACCCACAACTATCCCTACCTACCCGATAGTTACCGGTCCCAACTTCCTCTCAGCTTCTCTTACCTCGTTGGCATCCAAATACTATTGCACGATGGATAATCATTTGTACAAATTGAGAGACTAAAACAATCATCGATCCATATACAATCTTAATGACGAACGAACCAATCGGACCCGATCCGAGTCGGCAGCGGCCACTTGAATGGAATAATTAGATGATTATCTTTTATATATCTGTTGCTTTGATCAGCCGCCCCTTCGTATAAAGGACGCCATTTGCAATTATCCAAAGAAGCGTATCACTCCCAGAATGATGCCTCCATTATAATCAAGCTTCCTGTTGCGGTGAGCTTTTCAAGGGAAATGGGTAATGACGACGTAGACCCTAAAAGCTGTAACGTATGCGCGTCTTGGTCTCTGTTGCCGTTATTATACAATTTTAAGTGATACCTTACGCAACCACGTGGGCTTTGCTATGTAGCAAAAATCTAACCCCGATTTAAATTTTAGTTTGATAAAAAAATTGTATACATTTATGGGGGATGTTTAAATTATAAAAAGGGGAAGGACCAAGTTCGACCCACCGCAATTCCGTTTCTCTCGGCTCGAGTGGAACGAGTCGAAACGCTGACCATTATGGGGCCTTTAGAACGAAAAATTGACTTCATTCTCTGTAATTTCTCGAACCCCCGTGTGGTCCAACAAGCACAAACCCCAAAAATGTATAAAACTCGTGAGGCCTCCAGGGTGAAAGGGAACCAGGACGACTGATGGCGAACAGGAAGGGATAGGCAAAAGGACTGAGAGACGAGGTTACCTGTTTGTTTGCAAAAGGAATATACGAATAGTTTCCAAGTTCCATCGCATCGATTTCTAACAATAACCAACGAACAATGCCTTCTGGGAATCATTGTTGTTGGGTCAGAACTTCCTTCTGCTTCGCGTCAAACCACCCAGGAGACTCTGGTTGGACGTTGGTCGACAATGATTCGAAAAATCATTATATCCTACGAGTCATCGAGAATAACCTTAATGGGCCAAACTTTATTTATTGCTTGTGCAGTTCTTCGCCTCGTCTGCGAGGTCACTCCCGAGAGACACGTAAGATTTTACAAAGACGTTCTTCCCAGAATTCAATGCATTCGCATAAACATCTATATGTGGATGAATTGAAACTTTGACATTTTGGTTTGTTATTTTTGACCTTTAAAAGTACAAAATACACGTACAGTGCGCGTAATTTCTTTTCTATTGTATCTTTGTATTTTCCTACTTGCATCGTTGTTAAACGTTTTTTCTTTAAAAAATTTCTCAAAAAATTCATAACGAGAGTTATATGTAATTTTGTAAAAAAATTTTATTACAAACTTAATTGCTATGTTATTGTGGTTATCGATCAAGCTCAAAATTGTAAAATTACCGTATGAAAACGTCTTTCTAGGATCCCTTTGGGTGGCTTGGGACTCCGTTACCACAGGTGACATGGTACCATAAATCCCGAACAAACTGTACTGGGAGTCAGCAAAGACAAAAAAAGTTTGCGTCACATTTTTGCCATTCGGTGAGCTACACGATATTATACCATAAATCATAGAAATCCAGCAAACCACTACTGGCTATAAAGTTTATGGTGTTTGTAGGCCCGGTCAGAACACACGGTGGTATCCCAACGACCGTATATCTTCGCGGAAGTGAAACTCTCTCTTTGTCCAGTATTTTTCTTCTTGGACGATCAGTGTTTCGACAATATCGGTAGACCGTATTGTGCGAGTTTACGTGGAGATTCTGCCAAAAGCACGAAGAAATACAACTTATTACGAGTCCGTGATTTACTGCAGCAGGAAGGAAGCATTCGGCGCATTGAGTATGAGGAAGAGTTTGAA